TACCTTCTTTAATCTGTCTTTGCCTTATTTCTTCTGCTCCTTGTTAAATTCACCACCAAAAGGAACAAGGGGTGTGTGTGCCTACATGGGCATATAGCTTGGTGTTTGGTCCACTGCAGGGATGGACTCCTAAAGACAATGATCAGACAACATCTTTGCTGGAGCAAATCAACCTGCCCTCAGAGCCATCCTATCTGTACCTTTCTGGCCCCTGTCAGGCACTTTTACTTTTTTTGGTGTGGTATGCTTGCTCTGTTTTGGTTCATTTCCAGTGCATGTGATAACTGGAAACAAACCAAAAGCGAGCCTTCCTGCCAATTGCAGGGGGGCAGTTCTTGAATAAAAAACTTCCCCAGCTCTGTGGAGGGGGCAAGGAAGTGATTTTTAAAAAGTGTATTAGGGCAGTGCATATGTGCTGCATCACTTTTTTTAAAAAGCCAAATGGACAACTTTATCCTGGAAGTGGTAGGAGAATGGAGGGCGTTACGTTTGCCACTATCCTAAAATGGCTCTCTTCTTAAATCTGTTCATGATATTGACAAATTGACATTGGCAGGATTGTACCAAATGATATACTGACCTTATTTAGCCTGATCCAAAATCAGGCTAAATCATGTGTGTAGACAAACTCTAACAGATTAATTTTGTACTCATAATCCCACTGAACTTCTGGATAGCGCAGTCGTTTAAGTGTCTGACTACAAATCTGGAGGTTGCAAGTTCAATTCCCCCACTTTGCCTTCTTGACAGAGGCTGGGCTCAATAATCCATAGAGTCCTTCCAACCCTGCAGTTCTAAAATGATGTTGACGACGACGATTAATTCCATGATAAGGGACAAACTAGATATAGAAAAAGCGTCCATCATTACAGTCGTCATCTTCATCAGTAGTTTCCAGCCCTATTTTCATGCTTTGAAGGCTAAATAAAGACAGTTTTTAATAATTTGGTTTTTACCATCTTTCCAAGTATACATCTGCTGATTTGTAAGTAATTTTTTAAAGGCCCTCATAAAAGAAAATACAGTGGTGCCTCGACTTACGACTGTAATCCATTCCAGAAGATGGAACTTACTCAAAATGGTCGTAAATCGAAGCACCATTTCCCATAGGAATGCATTGAAATGCAACTAATCTGCTCCGGCCGAAGGGAAAAAATCACCCCACCCCCCCAAAAATTACTGCAATACTTATTGGAAATGCAATTAATCCCTTTCGGCCGAAGGGGGGGGGGAGAAAAGCAATAAAGCATGCAAGACCCATTGGAAATGCACAGAGAACAAAGGGGGCAGGTCGGAAATGCAAAGAAAGCAAAGGAAAAAGCAAGGGAAGCATGCAGGACACATCAGAAATGAGGGAGAAGCCAAAAGCAACCAAACTTCCCAAGACCCATTGGAAATGGGAGAGAAAAGTAAAAAAACAAAACAAAAACCAAACAACCCCCCCAGGACCCATCGGAAATGGGGGGAAAAAACCAAAAAAGCAACCAAACCCCCCAAGACCCATCGGAAATGGGGGGAAAACCCTAAAAACGAACAACCCCCAAGACCTATCGGAAATGGGGAAAAACACTCCAAAAAGCAGCAAAAAAAAAACCCAAGACCCATTGGAAATGGGGGTGGAACCAAAAAGCAAATAAACCCCCCAAGACCCATCACAGCACAGAAATATAACACTCCCAGCTCAAAACCACGCTGCAAAACCACCCAGAACAGTTTTTAAAAAGCAGAAAACAGCGCCTTACCTTACAAGGCAGCCCAAAGCCTCCCTGCAAACACACACACACATTCTATCAGAAGCAGGAGGTGGCAGTCCCAAGCCTCTGACGCCGCCGCATACTCTCTAACCGCTGGTACGAAAGAGCTACAAAGAAGCAGCCTCGTAGCCAACTACAGTTAGCAATTAGCATTTCCCGCCTTTTTCCCCTGTCTTTTTCTGTCCGTAAGTGGAAGCTCTGGTCACAAGTAGAAGCAAATGTTGTGGCCAGAGCTGGTCGTAACTCAAAATGGTCGTCAGTCGGGATGTTTGTAAGTCGAGGCACCACTGTATTCACCTTTTCAGCCTCCCTCTGTGTTGCAACTTTCAACAACGTGGATTGAGAGAAGTGAGTGGGATGAATAGCTGATTTCTAGGGGAGATGTTCTGACAAGTATCGAGGTTCTAAACACATTCTGGGCTTTGTAGATAATTATCAGCACCTTGAATTGAGCAGAGAAAGTAACAGGGAGCCAGTGAAGACATGCCAAGACTGGGGATATGTGATCAAATTTATTGTCCTCAGTAATCGGTCCGGCTGCTGCATTTTAGACCGGATGAAGTTTCCATACTGTTTTAAAAGAGAGCCCTATATAAAGAGCATTACGGTAGTCTATTTTTGAAAATACCAATTCATGAACCATGCATTTATGTTGGTCAATGGCTAGGTTGTCTGGGGGCTTTTAAAAAGGTGGATTTTTTTCCCTTCCACCTGTGGCATGGTAAGGACAATCTTCTTCACAGTATTTATCAATCATTAAAGAAGGTCAGGATGCTTTTTGTGTTCAAATGATATGAAAGAAATCTGGATAAGACAGAAAGATCAAGGAGGCTGAGGAAAGAAAACGTAAAGGCATTTTCTATGCACAGGGCAGGGCCAATGTGGCTCAGCTTGATACCCCTGCCATCTAGCTTGTACCTCAGCCGTCTGTTCTGCTACACACGTCGGAGGCCAGTCACCAGTTGCTGTTGTCCCTCTGAGCCTTTGGGATGGCTGCACTCTCATATCATGTATCAAGAAAGTGGCATGGAAATGCAACTCACAACTAGAGATGGGGGTATTCATATACAAATATGAATACCCCCGCACAGCTGGATGTAATGAGGGTCTGGCCAGGCTGACGAGTGGATAGCCCACCACAAGCTCTGGAGCAACTGGAAAAGAGAGCGGAGCCGGCGGCGGCAGCAGACAGATGAGTGGACATTATGATCAGCTGTGCGGGGGTATTCGTATACGAATACAAATACCCCTATCTCGGCTCACAACTGCTAAGCAAGAAGAGTTTTTCCACCATGGTGGGAGCCTAGCAGCATGTTCTAACTTCAGTGTTGAAACCAACTTTCCTTCCTGCTTCTTCTTTCCTTCTGATAAATGCCTGTAGCATGAGAATGAAGTGTCTCCTTGTGTTCTTTTACAGAGAAATGCCACGTACCTAGATAAACGTGTGACATATTATTTGAACACTTGCTCAGTAACTTCTTAGCCAGCCAGTGGTTTATAATCAGAAGCACAATTGGGGAGATTTGGTGGTGTTGGGCGGAGGGTGGGGTGCTCAGGAGAATGCCAGTTATGTGGAGGCCGGGCTGAAAGGTCGGGACGGGAGGGGGGGAATATATGGGGAGGCTGTGAGTATCCATGGATAAAGTATGGGAAGGAGCAACCTGCCCAAAGAGACTTAAGCCTTTTGAACCTCCCTCCCATAAGCTCACCTGCAAGATGGCAAGAAACAATTGATTTCTCCAGCAGCTCTCGGAAGACGGCAAGGATCTTGGCAGGCACGAGGTCGCCCTCAATGTTCACATCCGTTTCATGCCACTGCTGGAGGCTCTTGGAGAACTGCTCTACTTCCAGCCACTGCTGTAGCTCTTCCGGGTCCCTGACAGGAGACAGGAGCTTTGCTCCATGGGCTGTGTAGTAACGCCAGTGTCGTCTCTGGCCTTCTTTGTACCCAGACAGGCCAAGCAAGGGGACTGTGATCAGGAACTGGTTTGGTGCTAAGACCTAGGCAAATTCAAAAAGGTTGGAACAGGAAACTTAACTGGAGAAGAAGAAATGGAGTTTTACAAGGTAGTGCTTTGAAGAGGCTGAAGATACAGCAACAGCCCACCAAGGCAAGTTTCTCATTTGTATTGGTTTTTATAAGGAGGCTACTGGGAGAGGCTACTCCGGAGCCGGAGTCCCGGAGGCAGTTTGTGTCATTCTGTCAACTTCTGTGACGTCACTGGAACCAGTTGTATTGGCTCTTGCCTTTCCATTGGACCATTTCAGCAATGTGGAGAGGGGGGATTTGCTGGTTGGGTAACAGCCTATCCTCCATATTATTTTACCCAGGCTTCATGCCCTGGAGAGGACACTCCAGCTTCGCATACAGCATTTAAAACACCAGACGCTGAGACTCATCCACCCAAAAGATCGGACACCAAAACACAACCGGAACAATATAGTGTATGTGGTCCAATGCAAAGAGGAGTGTTCAGAGCTCTACGTTGGAGAAACCAAACAGCCACTAAACAGGAAAATGGCCCAGCACAGGAGGGGCAATGGCTCAGGACCACAATCCGCCCTGTCCCTTCGTTTGAAGGACAAAGGACACTCATTTGATGACCAATATATACTCATTTTGATAGATTGTTTGAGGGGTCAGGGAGGCCATACATGTGCCTCTAGAAAATCCCTCACTCAACAGGGGTGAAGGCCTTAGATACAATCTGTCTCCTATTTATCATGCTGCCCTTTCATCAGTTCCCAGGAAGATTAGAACCACACATACCAGAAAGACCACGGTTAATGACATTTAATGACCCATGACGAAGAATTGATGCCTTTGAATTATGGTGCTGGAGGAGACTCTTGAGAGTCCCCTGGACTGCAAGGAGAACGAACCTATCAATTCTAAAGGAAATCAACCCTGAGTGCTCACTGGAAGGACAGATCCTGAAGCTGAGGCTCCAATACTTTGGCCATCTCATGAGAAGAGAAGACTCCCTGGAAAAGACCTTAATGTTGGGAAAGTGTGGAGGCCAGAGGAGAAGGGGACGACAGAGGATGAGATGGTTGGACAGTGTCACCGAAGCAACCAACATGAATCTGACACAACTCCGGGAGTCACTGGAAGATAGGAGGGCCTGGCGTGCTCTGGTCCATGGGGTCACGAAGAGTCGGACACGACTAAATGACTAAACAAAACGAATGACCCATGACAATGGGTGGAGGATTGCAGAAGTGGGATTTTCAGTCACCCCCAGTCCTTTGTCCTTCTAATGAGCCTATTCAGACCAGGGGAAGTGAAACCAACATGGAGGATATATCAGGTATTTCCTATCAACTCTCTTCAGACTGAAGAAGCTACTTAACGTTTGAACCTAATAAGGAAGAGGTCCAGTTGCCATAACTCAACTTCCAGATAACCTCACCTAGATGTCTGAGAATCTTCACAGATATATTGAAGTCACTTATAGTTAAATAAGAGGGTGACCCCATAGACACTCAGCCTGCTGTTTGGTCTGCTGTGGGAACAGACTGGTTTGCTCCTAAAACTGGTGAACAGACAATGTATTTGCTGGAGAGAACCAGTCCATAAGAGCATTCCTACCCACATCTTTCTGGCCCCTGTTAGAGTCATCTACTTTTTTGGTGCAGGTAGGATTGCTCTGTTTTGGTTTCTTTCTAGCTCCTCAGTTCTATGATTCTATGAAGCAAAAACCTCTGCTGATATAAGCACTAGTTCTTGAAGTGAATTGATACATATTCCTCTGGTGCCTTAGCTTGGGCCGTTCTGCCTTGGGTGACCCTGTTAGGAGTCCAGGTTGATAACCGTATGCAGCCTCCTGACCATAGTGCTCTCAGCAATCCCCCTCGCCCCCCTAAGGTGTGCATCCGACAGGGGGCGACAGTCATTTACCCCTAACATTGAGCCTTTTCTTCTACAGTGGTGCCTCGCTAGACAGTTATCCTGCATGACAGTTTTTTTCACTAGACATTGGCTTAACAGTGGTTCCCATGAGGGAATTTCACTGGACAATGTTTGGTCCCTGCTTCGCAAAACAATTTTTGCTAGACGACGATTTTGACAGCTCCCGCCACGCTCACAAACAGGTGTTTTCGGGACCTAAGCTTCACAAGACAGCTATTTAAACAGCTGATCAGTGGTTTGCAAAGCAGCTTTCCTATGGCTGATCTTCGCTAGACAATGATGATTCTTCTCCATTGGAACGTATTAAACAGGTTTCAATCCATTCCAATGGGGAAATGCTTTTTGCTAGACAATGATTTCGCTAAACAGCAATTTCAGTGGAACGGCTTATCATCGTCTAGTGAGGCACCACTGTAATTGTTATTCTCTAGCAAAAAGCAGCACTGTTAATATAAAACTAATATCTCTTACTACTGAACAGATGTATTTCCCCATATCTGCACATGACATCGTGACTTTGCTCCATTTCATACTTTACAGCGTTCCGGTCCCCATTTGCTGTCATACTTCAAAATGTTCCTTGGTGTGATGGACCCTGAAGAAATTCCACAGATAACAACTTTTTCAAATGCAACTTTGCTTATCATCACACAGGGAAATAGATCACAATTTGGACCACCTGTGGAGTGGTCTGGGGTGATCTATTTCCCAGCAATCATACAACACATGAGGAAATGTGCTCCAGCCTGACTCTGATCTATGCCCAAGCTGGGCCTTTTTGAGTCCATCTGTAGGGCTTCCACTTTTGGGGGCAGGACTGGAGTGATTCCCTGGAAAACAGAGGAGTTTACTTCAAGAGAGGGAACTCCTGTTAAAGTGACCTTTTCCAATGTGATCAGATGTGTGCCTTTACAGCTATCAGATTGCACCCTTTGTCTGGATACTCCATCATAAGAAACCAAAATTGAAGCTGTTTGCTTATAATTAAGCTAATGCAAGGGAATCCATGCAAGGCTGATCTGTCCTTAATCTTGACAGCTAGTAAAGATGCCATACAATGAAAGAAACGGGAGAGGTGAGAATCAAGGGGAAACGAAAGGAAAGTGTTTTCGTGTGTGTGTGTGTGTGTGTGTGTGTGTGTGTGTGTGTGAGAGAGAGAGAGAGAGAGAGAGAGAGAGAGAGTGAAATGGTCTCTAGTTCTTGTGCCACCTCTCCTGCAACTTGTCTTTCAGAAATGCACCAAAGTGCTGGAATAACCTGATTGGAATATGGGCACTCTGAATGTCAGTATTAAATACCGTAAGCCTGACAAGTCACACTTTCTCAGCATGAAACCCAGGGAATGACATGTACAGAAATGACTCCAACTCCAGCAACACAACAGTGCAAAGGTGGGGAGGAGAGCGAGCACCCCAGAGTGTGCATAAAGCAATGACTTCAGCTCCAAATTTAAAATGGAGTGGGAGCCATTGACTTTTAAAGCCAAAAGTAGTAAAATGCCTTGGGCTCATATGAGCAAGTGACTGCACAGTTTTGTTGTTGTTTAGTCATTAAGTAGTGTCTGACTCTTGCTGCTTCTCTTGCACAGTTTAGGGTGGCATCATTAATAAGATGCACAGTTTAGGGGGCATTATTAATTTAAACATCACCAAGACATATACAGTACTGAGAGATCACCATATGCAAGAACACAAATGAAAAGAAGACAACTCAATTTGTTATTTGTACTGTGCATCTGCAAAGGAGTTCCACAGCATCTTCAGTAGCATCTTCAGTCATATTATAAGAAGCCCTGTATGTCCAACAGAGATGGTGGATTCTGTACTATGAAAAGTCTATAAACAACACAATGAACAGAATGAGCAGTATCCTTACAAAATGCGACAAACTCTCCAGGGTTAAAGTGAATTATGTTAAAGGTGTACTGCATGCATGAGACTTTCTTTCTTACTTGCAAGTAACCATACAGGTGTCTGCCGCGATCAGACCTACCTCAGACACAACAGCATTGAATCTTGATCAGGCATACAAATTTAATGCAGACATACCCTCTTATCCAAATGTACGCACATGGGGGTTAAAAAGAAGGAAGAAAAAACTCCTCTGGTACTTGGAGGTGGGAAACACAATAGGAGGAACGTTTAAGCCCAGACACAGTGGGCTTGATCTAGATCAAGGTCCTGAGCAGTTAGTTACTTATAAGTAAAAAAGAAAGAAAGTCTCTGTTACATGCTGCACATTGAACGTAGCATGCAGTCTATGAGGACAGTCAGCAAAACAGGAACAGGACTTTCAGCAAGTTTTAGGTGAATAAGAGTTTAGTGAAAGTGGTAATCAGGGGGCAGAAGCGGACATAAGGAATCTGGATAGAATCTATGCATAGCGTTTATACCTGGATAGATGGGTGGAAGGGGCGCTTCCCCTGAAGCAGAGCTGACCATTTGGCCAGTAAGGCTGGCTGATCCTAAGAGAAGCAGCAAGGAAAAGAAGCAGACACAACAGAGGCAGAAAAAGAAGTTAGTTGGCTAGCTGAATAAGCAGTTAGTGTTTGCCCATTGTTAATTCGAGTGAGAGCCAAGATGGTTGCAGCTCTGTAGCTTGGAGATAGGTTTTATGCAAAACATCATAAAGCAGGGGTGTGGAACTCAATCCCTGGCCTTCCAGGATTTGAATTCAACCCTCTGGTATCTCTCAAGCATCAAGCCCTCTCTTTCATGACACCATCTTTTTTAAAAAAAAAACTGGTTGCCCATCTTTTGTATAGGGATCCTCCTCCATTCGAAAAGGAAATAAAAAGTCCATTTTATGACGTAATATCTGGCAGTAAGAACTTTAAACTAAAACATGCCAGGATTTTTAATTCTACCATTCCAGTGGTGGTCCTGTTCACCACTGGAATGGCATCTTCAAGATCTTCAATGACATTGAATTTGTGGCTTGGGTGGAAAAAGGTTCCTAGCCTTGTTCTATAGACACTGCTCAATCCTGCTATGTCAGTCCCTCTGGAAGGACAGAGTACTCACCTGTAACTAGGGTCCTTTGAGCGGTCATCCATGAATTCACACACATGGGTACTTCTGTGCCTGCAGGAAACACTCTCGGGAACAGTCTGGAGCGTTGTCCCTCTTTTCTCTAATATACTGCTGCACACAACGGTCATTCGTTCAGTTCCCTCTGTCCCCTGCCAGGGTACAAACTTGGCTAGCATGATGGACAGAGGGGAGATTGGGAGGACTGTGTGAATTCATGGGTAACCACTCGAAGAACCACAGTTACAGATGAGTAGCTTGTCCTTCTTCTTTGTGGTCTCCATGAATCACACACATGGGTGACTCCTAAGCTCTTACTGGCTGGTGGGGATGTCACGCAAACAAGAAGACAACACTGCTCGACCGAAAAATGCATCCACCTTTGCTCTTACATCAACTCTATAAGGATGGCATGGATTGAGACCCTGTTGTGGCCTTTCAAATGTCCTGCAACTAGGCTCCCTTTAAGAAGGCTATTGACACTGCCACTGCTCACGTAGAATGCCCTTTCAAAGTGTCTGGTAATTGGCAGTTATAGCGAGATTGTCTTCACTACCCACTTACCTAGTCTTTGTGAAGACACTTGCTCTCCTTCCCCAGCCCCCTCCCCGATAACAAAGAAATAGTCTGTTCATTTTTCTAGTTCAGCTCTTCCTGACTATATAGAAAGCCAAGGCACACCTCACATCTAAAGTGTGAAGAGTCCTCTCCTGCCTGGAGGTTGGCGTGGAAAAGTTGGTAAAACTAATAGTTGACTTGCATGAAAATGCATAAGGACTATAGGTAAAAATTAAATGTTGGTAAAATAAAGTCACTTCATGAATTCTAAACAATGTTTCTCACAGTGTGAAGCTGATATTTCACTAGCCCTTCTCACTGAGGTTATACCTACTCGGAACACATTATTACTGTATATGTTAGCAAACTCAAATGAACTGTGGGCAGAGGCTTAAATGGGGATTTTGTTAGCTGATTTTACACTACAGACAAAAGACCATAGAGGTGTTGGTGGTCTTCAAAGGCGCTACTGTTGTTACGGCAACAACTTTTCAATCCTGCCGCCATCTTGGGCATCACCGTTCTTGGTGTACACCATGTGCTAATCTCATTCAGGTCTCTTTGAGCCAGGCTAAAGCTCAGATCCAAAGGGCTGATGTCAGCCCTCCAAAGGTGGATGCAAAGTCGCAGAGAGAAATGAGAGAGAGCGGCTCTTTCAGAGGAGGGAGGAGTGGTGTGGATGCATAAAAGGAAAATCCACCCAAAGGGGTACAGAAATAACTAAGAACTTGATGAAGGGACAAATCCACTTCTTGATGATCTCTGCATTTCCTGACTCAAATGACCAGTTTCTTCCTCTGATTGGTGAGTCGAGACGAACAATTTCTTTGTTTTCCTTTGATTCTAAAGAAGATATTAGCATAGAAGGGCGAACTGAACTGAAGAAAAAAGGACAGTAAAACTTAAGTGTTTGTGGTAAAAAAACATTAAAGATTTATTGTATTTTTTCTTCAGTTTTTTAGGTTTGGAGTGATCCAACTCTGGTACTTATTTTCTCTTTCTAGAAGCTGAGGCTGACTGTGTGATCTTACCCAGCAGGTTCAGAGTCGACTTTTGTTTGCATATCTGGTGACTTTGGCTGTGAAGTGCCTTGATCCTCTCTGAGTAAGCTACTTTCATTATTATCTATTTTAGACAGCGTTTTAGAAATAGATAGAGCCAATGTTGAGGCCTATTCCCTCTAAACTGAATCCATGGCCTTGAATAACTATAACCACAGAAAAGTTATGAGATGAGATTGTCTATTTTTAAGTACAATTTTCGTAAAATCCTGGCAGATCTTACAGTTTGGGTCTGCCGAGTTTCTCCCAAACAATAAAGGCATTTTTTATGTCTGTCAGAAAGCAGAATCTTACCTCCACAAAATATTCAGTATTTAACTGGGCCCATAAAGGCCATAAACCAGCAGGATTCAGACCATGACCTTTTCAAAGGTTTTCTTGGAAAATTCAGCTATCAAAAACAGGAAGGTAAGCACTGGAAAAAGATTGTAGTATATACAGATTTCTTATATTTTACAACAAAGCTCCAAACAGTCCCAAGAAATGAGACTAGTGGCAGTTAGAAGAGAACTGAAGGAATGACCATTGGGTGGAGTAGTATATTCAAAAAAGGAAGAGCAAATCTCTAGAATGTTCTTGAGAGTGTTTTGCAGAAGTACCCATGTGTGTGATTATTCACAGAGACCACGAGGAAGAAACAAGAGAATAACCAAGTTGAACTGTCTCCTTCTCCTACGTGAACTTCGTCTGTTATGAACACCCTATACCTTTCCAACTACTTTTTCCAGTCTCGTCAAGTAGGATAGCTGGGGCTGGACTCATGGAGAAGGAGAACAGCTACTACAGAGCCATCTCTTCATCTTATGTAAAGCTCTGCTTGAAAACAACAACAACAACAGATGCCAGTTATACCCATGGTTTCTAACACCCGTTCAGATGCTACTGAGGTTCATGTCTGCAACAAGCTGTGATGACTTGAACTAGGTACCTCTGAGTCCCTGTGCACTGGATTGTCGGTTTCAGCATCTCCCTGGGCAGCTTATTATCTTCAGCCCCCAGTTGTTGCATACTCATAGGGATGAGTGTAAGAGAGCTTCCTGCTCCAGTGGGGGGGGGGGAAGTTTTCCCTAAGCTTTGATATGTGCTGATAGCTGACTTTCTTCCCTGCCTCCTGATTTTGTCTTTGGTTGTGAACTCACCTTCAGCCTTGGCTCCTGCCTTTGTCTCTGACTGCCACCCACACCCTAGTTGTAAGAAGGCAGCCGCCCTGTTTTTCATTGGAAGTTGCCAGAGGCGCCTGATGGGGTTTCTCTCAACCTTGTAATGGGGAGATGATGCTTTAATTTGGAATGAGTCTCGGTGCCCATTCACGTGCTGCACATACATCCCCAAAGTGAGGCCAGCCCCGTGCACTTACCTTCAAGTTCTCATTATGAACGCCGGAGTTGGAGATTGCCTGAAAACGAGCGTCCTTGTTGCTAACATCTGTGGTTAATTGTTGTATGATTTTTTGCACCTCGTCCACAGTTTTGGATACCACTCGGTGCCTCATATTCACCTGCAGGTATAAGCGAAGGTTTTATCCCGTTGCTGCAAACAAACCCAAGTACACAAATAAAGTTGCTGAACCAGGAACCTACTGGAATATGGGCACGGATCATGTGCATGAACCGGGGCATGTACATTCAAGTGTACAGGTGGATATGAATATGCATGGGAAGAGGATGTATCTAACTAGCAGCCAGCTCAGATGATCTAGTGGCAACATTAACTACAAATTAATGTAAGTAGAGCTACATCAACTCAAACAAACAAAACTCAGCCTTATAAGGGAAGCCATTCCCATGTGGAATGGTTAAGGGAGTTGGGTAGCTTTAGCCTGCAGAAAGGAAGTGTGGGAAGTGATTTGATAGCCATGTTCTAATATTTGAAAGACTCTCACACAGGAGACAGCACATCCGTTTTGTTTTTTAATCCATAGCATAGGGCCTGAACCTGTGCGTTCAGATTACACAAGATGAGATTTCATCTAGATATTAGGATGAATTTCTTGATCTTAGCTGCACTGCTGGATAGCTCCGTGATTTAGGTATTTGGCTGTGGAGCCAAAAGTTTGGAGTTCAGTGCCTCTTTGATAGGGGATTTAGACTTGATGATCTATAGGATCCCTTCCAGCTCTGCAGTTCTAAGGCGATGATAATAATTAATAGTGGGATGGACTGCCTTGATAGTTCTGGATTTTGCTTTGCAAAATAGAGATTAGATAGGTACTCATTACAGATATTTTAGCTTTGCCCTAGCAAAGAGATGGGCTCACGTTCCCTAGAGCCCCTTCCAAATCTACTTTTCTATGATTCTACAGAGACCGAATGCATTATTCCATGTGGCAATGCTTAAACATGTCCTAAATTTTAAATTTTTTAAAAAACCTCTTCTGAACATTCTTAGAGGAAACAATGTACCGCTGTCTCTAAAGTACATTTCACACACAAAGCACATTAATGCATTATGGAGTAACATGGTATGGAGTGAAGGCATTTGTAACTTTGTGGGTTTTTTTCTATTTCTATTTTATTTTAATTTAATGTTTGCTTCACTGAAGGCAAAAAGAGGCTATCGTGATCTTCATTTGGCAGAACCCCAAACCTGATGATTATTTCTTGAATCTGCCATGATTTTGATGGCATACTTTGTCAGTGCTTCAGAAATGTATCACTTGAGAAAATAGCAAAAAAAACCTTGTACTGTGTGTTTAATTTCTCCAGATAAACTGTTTTATTTGCAATATTTCTGAACACTGGATATCCAAAATCTTCTGCAGGTTTGGTAGTTCATGTGGAAATGACTAAAGTCCAAAGAAAGAAAGAAAGAAAGAAAGAAAGAAAGAAAGAAAGAAAGAAAGAAAGAAAGAAAGAAAGAAAGAAAGAAAGAAAGAAAGAAAAGAAAAGAAAAGAAAAGAAAAGAAAAGAAAGAAAAGTTTCACGCTTCCTGCAATATGCAAGAGATGACATTGTTACAGCTTCCTTGGACAGAGGTTAAGAGAGTTGACTGACATTTATCCTCTGTTTATGGAATGCTCAGGACTCAGTTCAAGCCTAGCATGCAGAAGAAAGTTTTGCACATGGCCAGTGTGGATTTTTCTGTGATTTTATAGGAAAAAAAAGAAAATGTTGTATTTCATGGAACTAAAAATGCGGTGACTAAATCTACCCTGAAACACAATTCTTCCATCTCTCCTGATGCACCAAACTTTCCTCTCTTGATCCTACCATACCTTCTACTAAAATAACAAAAATCTACTGGAAAGATAAACACTACATAAACTTGAACATATTCCTTAGCAACTGCATGTCAGATTTCTCTTCTGAAATTCATCAGCAGAGCCAGTACTGTGGAACTGAGGGCACAGTCACATGAGGAAGTAGACCACAATAGATTAATGTAATCTATTTCTCAGCAACCACAAGATGCATGGCGGAATGCACTTCAGCCCAACCCTGATCCAGGCCCAAGCTGGGCCTTTTTGGTCCAGCTGTAGTAGCCATCCTTCAGTCTTGAGAGACTATGGTAACATGCTCTGTATGGAGGTCTTGGAACAGCATCTAGTGTGTCTGAGAATGCCAATTGGAGAGTGGCAATCCTTTGAAGACAAATTGCCTCCAAGCTGAACGCTCAGACGTCAAGGTTTCCCATCTGTTGAGGTCCATTCCTAAGGCCTCCAGATCCCGCTTGCTGATATCCTTGTATCGCAGCTGTGGTCTCCCTCTGGGGCGATTTCCTGCACTAATTCTCCATACAGGAGATCTTTTGGAATCCGACCATCAGCCATTCTCATGACATACCCAAGCCAACGTAGGCGGCACTGTTTAAGTAATGTGTACATGATAAAAATTCCAGCTTATTCTAGGACTACTCTATTTAGAACTTTGTCATGCCAGGTGATACCAAAAATGCGTCGGAGACAACGCATATGGAACATGTTCAGCTTCCTCTCCTGCCATGCACAAAGGGTCCAGGACTCGCTGCAGTATAGGAGTGTGCTCAGGACACAGGCTCTATAGACCTGGATTTTGGTGTATGCTGTCAGCTTCTTATTAAGCCATACTCTCTCTGGAGTATGATCCAGCTGTAGGGCATCAATTTTTTTTGGACGAGCTGGAGTAGTTCCCCAAGCAGACAGAAGTTTTGCTTTAAGGGAGATTACTCCCTTTTGTGATCCTTTTGGGGTGTTGCACCTTTACAGCCCTGAATCAGAAACAATGAGTCAAATATGGTCCTGAAAGACATCTGATAAATGGATTAATTAATACATAAAATGAGGAAACACCCTATGAAGTTAGCCCAGCAATTCAAAGAGAATGGTTTTTGTGAAATAGCCATGGTTCCCTCCTTGCCTCTTTGAATCACTCTGATGATTCTTCAGCTTATTTATTTGGGAGCTGAAAGTAAGTTCAACTGAACTGAGTATGGTTTATTTCTGATTAGGCATTAATAAAATTGCACTGATATCTGTATCTCCTCTCGCCCACTTCCACTGGCATGCGGTGCCTTTTTAAGGCTTTGTATCTGCTTTCATATAAAATCTATTCAGGTTTTTAAACTGCCATTCTTATATTAAAAAGGAAAGATCAAAATATAAAAAACATTTACCTTGGTAGCTCAAATTAAAAAATAGGGCTGCATGGAATGTATACTGTGAGATTAACAACCTCCTGCTTCATCCTCTGTCTTTTTTTCATATTTAATATTGCAGTACGGTATTGAAATACGTACAGTGAACAGGCAGAGGAACAATGCCTCCCCCTCTTATCTGATCTGTTGATCATAATAAAGAAATCAATCAGTGCACCCTCCTCTTGTGTGTTTTCTGCAATGACAGTCTCCAGACAGTAGAAAAGGAGGCAGCCTTATTTAATGGGGGCAACAACTATTTTGAATTCCTCCATATCTAAAAAGCACATCAGAATAAATCTTCAAGTAAATATTCTTCTTTCCGAAAGAAGTTTGTCTCATTTCCAAATATAAAGTGTCCTTCAAAATCTAATTTTGAAATGAGTATAATGGCTCGGAGAGGGTTGTCAATCCAGTAGAGCCCTGGTTTCATCCTGAGCTTGTCACATTTCTTTTTAAAAGGAATATTATCATTAGTGTTTTGTTTTTTGTTTTGCTTTGTTCTTTATGAATGCATAAGCTTTAGTGTTACGGTTGCATCACAGAAAAATTTAAGATCTCTTCCATATCTCTGAGATAATCTCTAAGGCACTTTCCTCATCTATACCTGTAAAAGTTACAAATAGGGAATTGGCATTGTTGGCAACGGAAATAAATAATTTGCTTCCCTTTTATGACACATAAAATCTATAGCCTGAGGTGAGGAAGCAACCTCCACCTCCATTCACTAGTAACTTACAGCAGCATGTCACAAATTTTACCATATAACGGTCAATAGCATGAGCACTTCGAACCTTTTTCTAAAATATACAATTGCTGCTGTTTTCTAAAAAAAATGTTGGATTTCCTAATTCTCTGGGAGACTCCAGAGTCTAAATAGCAAAAATAATGTATGTCCTCAGCAAATATCAAGCTTGGCAAAAAGATACTGGTAGCTAATCAAAGCGCCTGAACTTGCTTCAGACAACTTTGGCTGGAACTTCATGTTGCAAATAACTTACAGTAAGTTTTTTTATTGTGGGTTATCTGCAATGTGGAGCAAAAATCCCCCCATCACATGCATATTTAAATGTAGTGAAGTCACTGCCTACCTGCCCCCCCCCCCCCGCACACCAAAAT